CCGGGCCAGATTCAAACTTGCCAGCTCTGGTGTATGTGGCTGACGCCTTAGCCACTTGAGCTACAGGCACCAAGCTGAAACCACTTTTTAATAGAAAAATCAAAAGCAGTCCAGACAAAAGACATACTAACATTAGGCTAAAGAGACTCTTGGAATGTCCAGTTTGGGTGACTGATGTCAGTTTTTCCCATACAGAGCCATTCCACAAAGGATAAGATAGGTTGCTGGGTTCTTGGTTTTTTTTTCTTTCTCACCTTTGAAAGAGTGTCATAACAAGCTCACAGCAACCTCAAACTCTTGGGTTCAAGTGATTCTCTCTTGTCTCGGCCCCTAGAGTAGTTGAGAAGACAAGTGTCTGCCATAACTCCTTACTATTTTTAGAGTCTGGTACTTGCTCTGGCTCAGGCTGGTTTCAAACCCTGAGCTCAAGCAATCCATCCATCTCAGACTCCCAGAATGCTAGGATTACAGGTGTGAGCCACAGTGCCTGGCCTTTTTTGTTTTTTTCTTTTGAGATAAAGTTTCACTCCCTGTCTAGATTAGAGTGCCATGGCATCATAGCTCATAGCAACCTCAAACATTTGGGCTCAAGCAATCCTTTCACCTTAGCCTCCTGAGTAGCTGGAACTACAAGCTCCACATGCCCAGCTAGTTTTTCTGTTTTTACTAGAGACAGGGTCTTGCTCTTGCTTGGGCTGCTCTGAAAATTCCTGAGCAAAAGCAATCCTGCTGCCGTGGCCTCCCAGAGTGCTAGGATTACAGGCATGAGCCACAGCACAAAATCTGTAGCTGTTCTTTAAATGACCAAAATCACAACAAAAACAACAAGGCATCAAAGAAATATGGCCCTATCAAAAGTCAAAAATAGGCTTGGCACCCGTAGCACAGTAGTTACGGCACTAGCCACATGCACGGAGGGTGGCAGGTTTGAACCCAGCCCAGGCCTGCTAAACAACAATGACAACTACAACAAAAAATAGCCAGGCATTGTGGTGGCTTACTTGGGCGGCTGAGGCAAGACAATCACTCAAGCCCAAGAGTTTGAGGTTGCTGTGACCTGTCACACCCCAGCGCTCTACCGAGGGAGACATAGTGAGACTGTGTCAAAATAAATAAATAAATAAATCCTCAAGTGACTCTGAAGAAATGAAGATCTACGAATTATTTTTAAAAGAATTTAAAATACCTATTTTAATAATGTTCAACTACCTAAATGGGAACATAAGACAACACCTAAACAAAAGGAAGAAAACAATACATTAAGAAAATTTGATTACTAACAAAGAGAAAATTAAGATAAAAAGATAAAGTGTGGTATTCATAAATAAAATAAAGGTTCAATGGAGTGGGTCAAGAGCAGATTTGATCTAGTAGAAGAAAAAGCCAACAAACTTAATAATAGGTCATTTAAAGTCATAGAGTCAGAGAAACAAAAAAATAAAAAGAAAATGAGAAAAGGTAAAGTCAGCCTAAGGGATTTATGGGACATCATTAAGTGGACCATTACACTGATAATGAGATCTAGAATGAGAAAAGTTAAGAAAAAATGCAGGGAGATTCCATGAATAAATAGGAGCTGAGGCCAGGCATAGTAGTTCATGCCTGTGAACTAGCACTCTATATGGCCAAGGTCAGAGAATCCCTTGAGCTCAAGAGTTCAGTCTGAGCAAGAGTAACTCCCTGTGTTGGGGTGTAGCCCCCCATACCTAAGCATGGTATTTTATTCTCAAGTGCTCCCTGAGGAATGTGACTCTAAACTTCTTATTCTGAGAATATGTTTAGATCTGCCTAAAAGCAGACAGTCACATGTTTACAAATAAGATAGCTGGTGGGTTTCGCTAGGTTGTAGCTGGAGATAACACTTGCTGAGGTGGTGGGCTGCTGAATCCTGTACCTTCCCCCTCACTTACACAACAGTAGTCAGTTTTAGCTTAAAGGAAATGGGCAGGCTCGGCGCCTGTGGCTCAAATGGCTAAGGCGCCAGCCACGTACACCTAAGGTGGCGGGTTCAAATCCACAGCCCCGGCCCCGCCAAAAACAATGACGGCTGCAACCAAAAAATAGCTGGGCGTTGTGGCAGGTGCCTGTGGTCCCAGCTACTTGGGAGGCTGAGGCAGGAGACTTGCTTGAGCCCAGGAGTTGGAGGTTGCTGTGAGCTGTGATGCCATGGCACTCTACACAGGGGGACAGCTTGAGGCTCTGTCTCAAAAAAAAAAAAAGAAAAGAAATGGGCAAACAGGAACAGACATCCTGGCGCTTTTGTGGTTAAGTCTGAAGTAAAAATGCCTTTTTTAACTGTGCTTGTGATCAGTAGCAGTTTTGTGCTGATTTGGAGTTTTTAATGGCAGTTTTCACATCTTACCTTGTTTCGCTTCTTTTTGCTATTTTTAACCTTTACTAAGATAAGTTTATAAGGAGCTCAATAGACATGGGTGTTTGCTGTGTGCCCGACAGAGCCTCAGCCCCCCTTTTCATTCCAATCATTTGTCTAGCAGTACTTTCCTCTGCGTCTCTGAACAAGGGGTTTCGTGGGACACTTCCACCCTATCTCTACTAAAAATAAAAATTAGCCAAGTGTTATGGCAGGTACCTGTACTCCTAGCCACTCAGGAGGCTGAGGCAAAAAGATTGCTTGAGCCTAAGAATTTGAGGTTGCTGTGAGCCATAATGACACCACGGCACTCTACCCAGGGTGAGACTGTCTCACAGGAAAAAAAAAAGAAGAAATATGGGCTGAGAACTTTCAAAATTTGAGGGAAAAAGAGGCACTGTATGCAATTGATGTTATTAGCTTAGAATAGATTGTTATAACTTCAAGATGGTTTTGACAGTATCTATGGTAAACATAATGAATATACCTATAGTATGTTGATACTCAAAAGGCAATATGAAATTAGAACAGAGGCTGGTCACAGTGGCTCCTGCCTGTAATCT